AGGAAGGAAGGAAGGAAGGAAGGAAGGAAGGAAGGAAGGAAGGAAGGAAGGAAGGAAGGAAGGAAGGAGAAAGGAGAAAGGAGAAAGGAGAAAGGAGAAAGAGGAAGGAGATGGGGGAAGGATGGAAGGAAGGTGCTCAAAGAAAGCAGAGCTTATCCTGGGTAGTGGCTCCCACCCCTTTCAAACTGCCCTGTCAGCTTTGCATTCAGCCAACTCGTGGGATGCATCTGCCACACCTGCCCCACCCCAGGCCCCGGGTCATGCGGATCAGGCTCCAGCCCTCCACAGAAAGCAGAATCTTCCCAGCTGCCCACGCCTTGCCTTGTTCATGCCTTCTTGGAGGAGGCAAGAGAGGGCGACCTGACCTGCGGGTGACGTGGCCTCTGCTGCTCTCTTTCTCTTTCTGCAGCTGCAGTCCACAGAGTTCAGCACTGCTGGGAGTGAGAAAGGCAGTCCAGGTAAGGGAAGCTCCTCCCCGCTGCAGGCTTGGGCAGACCCTCCCCCTTTCTGCCCCTCCCAATCACGGCCACCTTCTCCCTTTGTCTTTCAGGTCTGCAGGTAAGCGGGCGCCTTGATCAGGGCAGGGACAGAGCAGCACGGGCCGCACATGGCTGGCGAGCGCCCCCAAGCTCCAGAGGTGCTCCCGCCCCAGCCTGGGGCAGAGGAAAGAAGGGGGGCAGGTGCTCCAAGGCCTTGAGGAGGTCCCATGGGCGGGATGGGAACTCCCGCCTTTGGCTCAGAGCCAAGTGTGCTTCCCCTGCAGAACGGCCAAAGAGGGCGTATGGACAGAGGGAGCTCCCTTCCCAGCATGCTGGAGCAAAAGGTGAGAGCCCATCTGGGGGGTCGCGGGGGAGTGTTCCCGCACAAGCCTCAGAGCCTAGCTGACTAGCTGGCTGTTTGGTTCCTTTCCCACCCAAGATTTACCCGTATGAGATGCTGATGGTGACCAACCGAGGAAGGGTCAAGCTGCCTCCAGGAGTGGACCGGACGCGACTTGAGGTATGGAGCGCCCCTTCCTGCCGCTCCGGCACAGGCAGGCAGGGACAGATGCTGCTCAGCAGACATGGTGCTGCGCCGGGCCTCCATCAAAGCAGGGTCCTCTTTCTTCTCCCTCCCAGCGGCATTTGTCACCTGAGGACTTCCAGCGGGCCTTTGAAATGCCTCCGGAGGAGTTTTCCAAACTGGCTCTGTGGAAGCGGAACGAGCTGAAGAAGAAAGCCTTTCTCTTCTGACTCCCTCGCCAGCCACCCTGCTCAGCGTGAGCTCCACGTGTGTCGTGCATCGCAGAGGCTTTAGCGCGCCTCTTGAGCGGGCTCCAAGGAATACTCCTCACCCATCCCAGCTAAGAGGGAGCCGGTGGGCCCCACTCAGGCAGGGGGGAAAGGAGCAGCCTGTAGCAAGAGGAACCAACAGTTCCCCCCCCGCCACCCCTGAGCATGAGCCAGAACATGGAGGAGTTGGGTGGGGAGAGGGAGCAGCTGCGTCCAGAGAGCCTGGCCCTGGGACCAGAGCACCGACCCTGCCTCTTGGCACCTGAGGCGCATCTCATCGACTGCCAGTCAGCAGGAGTGATGCCATCTAAATCTCAGTGCCTTGGTTGTTCCTGTGGCCCTTGGCCAATGGCCTTGCTGTCCCTCAGCAAGCTTTGTGCAGCAGCACCCCCCCCAAACAGAACACCTTTAAGAGCCATCCATTTCTCCTCCCCTCTCCATTTCCCAGGCTTGTAGTGCTTGCCCCATCCTCTTCCTTTCAGTTTGGTGAGCCGTGGGGCCTTCTAACCCTGCAGAGTCAGCGTGGGCTTCCAGGTGGGGCTCTGGACAAAAGGGCAGCCTGCCTGTGCAGGCCTTTGTCCTGGCTGCAGATCGCTTCTGCCTGTCCTGCCCAAGCCACCCCAGGAAGTTGGGTGATTGCTCCCCCAGGAACAGGGGGAGGTGTGTGGGGCTGGGCCCCCAAGGCTCTCTTTCGCCTTACCCAGGGCCTGCTGTTTCTGCATCCCCTTCCCCAGAAACACTAAGACTGCCCTGCAACGTGACTGTTTCTGTGACAGTTTGAATCATTCCAGAGGAAGAATTGGTGTAACTTAGCCCCAAGATCCTCTAAGGCTAAAAAAACATGATGGCAAAGTGAGCTGCCTTGAGCACCAACCCGCCAGAGGCTCTCTGTGGAGCTGGCAGACAAGAAGGCAGCTGCTCCTCACCTTGGTGTAAAAGGCAAGGAGTTAGAACTCCTCCTCCCTCCGCCCCACTACCATCTCCCATCCTGCTTGCTGTGGAAGGGAGAAGGGGGGAAAGGTTTTCTGCAGAAGTTTCCACGCTGCCTCTCTCTTCCTGCAAGGGGCTGCTGCCACAGTGAACTGCCACAACACTGAGGCTGAACCTGCCTCCTGAGTGGCTGCCTGCAGATGACCTTTCACATGCAGCTGAATCAAGAGTGTGCCAAGTTAAAGCAGGGACACAGCTCTTGAAGTGAGGCTCCATTCCATCCATCATCAACCAAGCAGGCACTTGATCAGCTCAAGCAAACACCATAGACGTGGACATGACCATGAAGGCCATTGATGAGCAACAAGAATTTGTTGGCGAGGGGGTCTTGAGCAGAGCAGCAGCTGATTGCCTCAATCAGCTGCTGTTGACTGGAGGGGGGGCAATGGTTGGGGGATTTGAGTGGTCAGGAGGCACCTCTTCATTCCAGCTAAGTTTATGGGCACAAGGCTGAAATCACATTCCTCTCTGCAGGCCTTGAAGTTGTTAAGGAGTCTTCAGCCCCCCCATGAAAAGGAAACCCCCAAAGAAGAAAGACCTACCCAAAGTACCACTTGCAAACAATAGCACCAAACTAAGTCAGATCTATGGGGTGTTTCATATGTGGGGAAGGAGGGCTCTCCAGCCATCATGCTCTTTGGCAAACAACCCAAAAAGGATGTCATGTTCAGCAGAAGGGAGGATTGAGTCTGAAGCGATCAGCTCTTTGAGGAACCCAGCAGAGTTTGGCATGGGCATGAAGGAAGCTGCAGCCTTTGTTGCATTCCAGGCATAGAGGTGGAGCTACTGATGCCCAGGGAGATGAGGCACCTTCCCTGAAATGGCAAATCATGAGATGGGGTAAGTGTCCCACCTAAACTCCAGCTGCCTGGACTGTCTGAGAACAACACAGATTGTGGAAACTGCCTTTGAAGGCTCTGCCACAAGAGCCTGGAACTCAGCTCAATGCCCCTTCCTCCAGACAATTTCTGCCCGCCATGCTGTTCCCTTCCCAGCCACTCAACTTTGTGCAGATGTAGAGTGTAATTAGAAGTCACTGGCTTCTACTCTCTTCCCACTGCTACTTATGTGAACATGTTGTTAAATATGGACCTCTAACAGTAGTTCAGTCCCACCAACCTACTTTTGCTGATGTCAGAATCTGTGACAATTTCCTCTTTTTAATTAAACGTGAAGCAGCTTTATTCAAAAAGCCTTGTTCTTGGCTGGTGTCTCCTTGGAGTTTGGGTTGCTGTGTGGTTCAGTCTTGGGTGACAGAATTCTAAAGCATTCTGGCTAATCTGGCTGTTGCAGAGATTGTTTACTGCAAACGACTGGAGTCCTGCCCCAGCTGTAGGACCTCTGCTCGGGCACTCCATGTTGAGCAGAGGTGGCCTTCTGCCAGCCAGGGAGAGCTAAGACTTTTGCTGTTTCCTGGGGAGGAACACGTTGCCCTGGATGAACAGGCAGGCCACCTGGGGAGGAGGGGCTGTGTCTGTGGGAGCTTCTGCCTGAAATGAAGCACCAAGGCAAAACACACTGGCAAAAACTACACCGAAGAACTTTATTTTTTCAGCAAGGAATACAGGAAGCTCCAGTTTAGATTAGATGCCTTTTTATTCAGCAGGCCTGCCACAGTGGATCCTTCTCTGCCTTCTTAATGGGACTCAGCTCAGAATAATCTTGAAGGTACCTTCCTCGTCTTGGTTGGTTAGTTCTCCCAGCTGAAGCCCTGTCACCATTGCTACAGATGTCACCTATTTACAACTGGCTGAGTAACAGGAACCTCATCATCTTTCTGTGGCCAACTTGATTCTTCAAAAGGAAATTGGTTATTTTAGCCAGATCCACTTGTCTCCCACATCAGCATTGTAACCAGATGCATACTTACGTCCAGGAAGCTACAATGAAAAAGAAGCAGGGAAGGTCCATCAGCATTAGGTAAACATTTCCTTCTACTATGATTCTCTGAGCAGGTCCATCCCATAGACTTGATCTGATCTTCTTTCTCTCCTCAGGAAGTCCTGGGAACTGGCCCTCAGCAGGGAATTCTCTGCATTCTTCCAAGCTACTATTTCCAGAACTTTGTGGTGTGATGTCTAGTCCAGTATCAGAGTTGATTTAAAATTTAAGTTTTATTTCCTCTCTTAAGCTACAAGTCTAAGATCCAATGACAACATGAATCAGTGACCTTCAAACAAGAATGCCTGAAAGAGTTGGGTAATATATCTCATTCCAAGCTAATCCTGACAGATCCTGGCAGCACATTTACTGCAAGAAAAAGGAGCTGAATGCTCTCCTTCAGCCTCATTGGCCACTAGGCCCTCCACTGCCCAGTCTCTCCACAGATCGCCTTCTGCCACAAACAACCCTGAGCACTCCAGTCGCTGAATGTCCTCTTGAGTGAGGACCACCATCAACTCAGTGTTCACTCTTAACAACTACACAGATTTTCTCCAGGAGAATGTCCTCTTACCTCCCTATAATTATGGAAGATTTCATCAGCATCAAGGCCTCCTATTGTGACTTCAGGAATGTAGTCAGGAACAGCTATAGGACTCATCATTTTTAATTTGTCATTAACACTGAAAGGAAAAGAAAGCTAGTTACAGTGAAAGCTAGTTGTAACAGACATATTGTGGTTGGGTTCACACAACAGGCAAAGCCAAAATATGAACTCAGCCAACATGAACTGCAAACTTCTTCACTATGGCTCAGCGAAGTATTTGAAATCAGACTTTGGGCTGGTGGGTATGGAAAGCAATCACTTCCTCTGAGGTAACAAAAGGGATGGGAATAGGTATCCAGGACTTCTCTATCCCACCGGACAGGAGGGAGCCCATTCAGCCCATCAGTCTGAAAGATTTGCAGATGTATAACTTGCCCAAGCAGCTCTTAAGGAACCACCAACTTCTCCACTTCCCCAAGGGCACTTGCCCAGTTTCAGCTCTTCCTACAGAGTTCATGTTTACTGCAGGGATGGAGAGAAATAATACCACTAGTTAAAACTACTAACTGGGCAATTATCTCCGATGATAAAATGAAGCCTGGAGGTATAAAGCAGATTAATTCTTGAGGACTAGGTGCTGGGAACAAATTATAGCTGGCTTTTGCTGGACACCACTTCAAGAAGCACAAGATGAACTGTGTGTTCTGACCCAGCACAGAAATTCTCGTGTTCTTAAAAGAAAGCATGGGAGTCCCAGGTCTGCTCCTGTCCTCCCCACAGGCTTCATGGCATCGGAATAATCTGCAGTGACGTTGTTTGCCCCACTGCCCTGGGAAGGAGGCTTGGAACATGCAGACTGGATCTGTTCCCAGCCTCATCTTTCAAGCAGCCCCAAGCAGGCATACATCAAGCGGCAGGAGCCCTAAAGGGCCCCGAGAGGCAACGCGCTGCTGCAGTGCCATCTAATTATCACACACAGCACTTTCCCCAAAGGAAGCCATGTGAGTCTTCATGGAACGGCCTATAAGCAGAAAATCTTCCTTCATTTAATTGTACCTCTTGAAGCTTTACAATAAATTCATACTCTCTGCATTTATCTATTTTTTACTGAGGGGCAACAGAAAAGCTTTCACCAAATCTGCCACACTGTACTTTCTCTACATGGCATGATTGGGGCGGCGGGAGGGGGGAAGAAGAGTAAATGATGGGGGTCAAAGAAATGGAACACAAAAAACAGTTTTTACATATCACAGAGCTTCTTGCATTTATAAACTGATCCACACGTATTGTGAATCCTTTTATGGATTTTGTGGTATTAAAGACATTTTCGTGCTGCAACAAGTAACAGTTATCCATCTAGAAATGGTTTTAATCTTGTTTGTGTGCCTGTTTTTCCCAAATACATTTCTGACACCCATAATTTCCTAATTCTGTGTTGGGGTTGGAGAGGTGTAAATATGTAAAATGAAATTTGCAAATAGTTTTGAAAGCCCAAGCTAAGGTGCTCATGGAAATCTCTGGGGCACTGCTAGGATCTGCCTCTTACCTATCAGCTTCACAAGAGAGAAACACCTTGGCACTGTCTCTGGATTAGATGGTACAGAAATCCCACTTTGGGGTCACTGCTCTGGACTCTACCATCATGAACGCTTCTTTGGAAGAAGGCAACTTTCTTGTTTTAAATTCCAAAAATCAGAGTGTCCCTCAACTGTCATTGTTTGAGAAATGCTCCTGTACAGTGATTTAGCTGCTAGGAAAACATTCTACAAATAAATACTGAAATGGAGTTTTTGAGAACTGAACTTACCGACACCTCAAGTAATGCAACGAAACATCGTTTTCTGCAAGCCAAGGCCCTTTATCAAATTTCAGGATCTCAATATCTTCAATAATCTGTAAAAATAAAAAGATGAGAATCAATTCCTATAACCATTTGGGAGGAACACTGCCCTGCAAACTGAAATTGGAGATGGCAGGATTGAACCCAGTGCCTTCAGTGTACAAAGCAGGTGCTTTATTGCTCCCATCTTTCCAGCTTTCTCAACATAAAAAGAGGAAAATTCTTGCTTCTGTCTTTTGCAGATTTAATCTGAATTTGAAGAAACAAAACTCTTCTGCTGCTGCTGCTTCTCACATTAAACGGGTGCACATAAATAGCCATAACTTTTTACTCCATTCAGCTAAATACATTTGAAAGCAACATATCCCATCTTTTGTTTGGTTAAACACTAGTTCCTTCAACTTTTTCAAAAAACCCTCGCCTTCTCTTAGCATAACTCTACTTCTTTGGGCCTGTTTTAGTTTGACTTCTTTGTGACACAAAGCCAGCAGGTGATGTCTAATATATTACTAGAAAGCCCCACACCCAGGGGTAGGGTGGGGGTGGGGGCTGGGGCAGCAAAAAGGGACATATGGTCCCTGACCACTTACTCTGTCCACATTGTCAGCTTCACTGGCTGTATATTGCAAGATCTCAGAGGTCTCACTACAAAGAAAAGAGTAGCAATGAGTCATTTGACAGAAAATACAAGAACATTAAATCTTCTAAAACTGGAGTACGAGTTCATTATTGCTCCTGAATGTATGCACCCAGGATGAGAGAAGATGCTAGGTGAGAGAGTCTGCTGAGTGGCCAACATAGAGCATATGGCAGAGAACAACTACAATATTAATATGCCATGCTCCAGAACCTCTAATACATTTAAAGGTTTACAATATTTTTTTAGAATAAGGATCAAAGAGAGATAATATCTAACAGAGATTAGAAAGACCACAATAGAGTTTACACACATATAGATGCACATATATGCTATAGAGAGCAAGGAAGAGGACCGTCACGGAGATACGCAGGAGCCGTCGCCTATGCGAAAGGGGCTGAAACTTTTTTGAATGATATTCAGGAGCTGTTCAGACACCTCCCGAATTCACTGAATGATAAGGAGGGGGAGGAAGCATAACCTAATCAGATTTGCAAGATTCTGCTATTGGCTATACAATCTCAATAAAACTAGCTACAGTATTTCTGTGGAATTGATATCATAGTCTGGTCTACCTAGTAGGGCTGATACATGCACAAATACTGTACATTGATCATATCTTCCTGCTTTCATTCCTTGAAAGTCTTCACAAACTATTGGAAAGTGAAAAGGGAGGGAACTAATCCAGTTTCTCTGGGAAGTCCCCAGGTTTAGTAGCAATGGCCAAAGCATCTTGATCTGGTATATTCATCCATTTCAGCCTAGGTTATAAGAGGATACAGAGCAGAACCTTATCAGAAAAACAGGTGGTTTGGCATGGACACAGACTGCCCTCCCAGGCTACATGACACTGATGCAACACTGGATTTTTCTGCTCTTACCAACAATTAAAAAAAAAAAAATCTTGCTGCTGTCTTTTGAACTAAGTGCAGCTTCTTGGCCTTCTCTTCAGAAGGAGGCCCCATGAGACAAAGAACAGTTGCCTCTTCTCATGCTTGAACAACTGGCCAGGCCAGGCCTAGGAACACCTGCCTGGTTTGTGAGGGAAACAGCACTCCCAGGACCCTGTACCCGGCTCCAGAAATGTGTGTGAGGCACCAGGAGACTCTGGTGGCTGTCAAGAATGCTGCTGTGCAGATAACTGGGCGTGAGACACTGTGAAGTTAGGCTCTAGGGGTCAGTTGAGAATGCTGCTACTATTGTATATCAGCCAACTGGCCATGCTCCAGGCTTCTGTGGAGTTCCCCAGATGTGGTTCTGGGGGACCTGCCATCCTTGGGCATGGAGTTGGAGGCAGTTTGAGAGTTCATGGCCACCATGGACCTGACCCAGGGGCCCCAACACCCAGTGGGAGTCATATGGTAGACCTGGCTTTTGTCTTGGGGCAGGGCAACATGATCTGGAATTGGGGGATATTGCCACTAGTCCTTTGTCATAAACAGATCACTCTCTGTGTAGGAAGAGAGCCAGGTTAGTCTATGATAGAAGACTAGAACACTTTCTCAGCTCTTAATTCTCTCATTTACATGAGATTCATTGATATTTTTATCATCTGACCCCATGAAAATGAATTTCTGACCAAATGCCATCATGACTTCAACAATTTCCACCCTACCATCAACCTCAGCTTCGACTTACCAACAGACACTATGGCAGACTGCAAAGTGACTGTTTTAGAAAAATGGAACTTTTTAACAGCACCACTGAGCAAGACATTGTTGAACTCATGTACATCAAAAGGTTTCAGGCAGCCCTCTCAGAAGGACTCAACACTATAATGCTAACACATTATAATTGTTAATTTCAACCCTGATTGCTCATTGGAATGATCGATAATGAAGCTCAAGCTCAGATACTTTGGTCACCTAATGCGAAGAGAGATCTCTTTGGAAAAGACCCTGATGCTGGGAAAGATTGAAGGCAAAAGGAGAAGAGGACGGCAGAGGATG